GATAGATGCTTGGAGCACTTAAAGGAATCTTCCACGGAAAAAGCTCCGCCTCCATTACCACAGAAAAACGATACCTTAGGCCCCTAGCCTCATGAGCATAGCAAAAAGAACGGAACATAAGCGTTAGTTTCGATAATACTAATCCTACACACAAGACAAAATGATCACTCTTTCCGTGGAAGATTCCTTTAAGGTATCGTTTTCTGTGGTAATGAGGGCGGAGCTTTTTCCGTGGAAGATTCCTTTAACACTTTGAGAGACCGCTGCTTTTTACGTTCCGCGGCCGCACGGGACTTCGGTGAAATTTTTAGGGATCTTATCTAGCAAATTCAAAAGAAGAACCCACTGTGTAATGCAGAAGAAATCTCATCGGATAAAATGGAAAAGAAAATGAATGAAAAACTTAATAATTGTTTCCGAAATGCGAGCTGAAAGGTCCTATGCGGACGGAGGGGTGCAGCCCACATATGGGCTGCGTGGGCTCCAAGGTGTCAATGTACCCAGACGCCACGCTCGTTTCAGAAATTCTTTCATTCTACTTTCAAAATAGTCTATCAAGGGGGAAGGGGGCAGTTGACAAGTGGCGTGCGCTTCACACGCGAGGGCCGGGCGGGCCCCCCCGGGATCAATTCCTGGGTCGTGAGTCGCCCGGGCCAACCAAGCCTTCCATCCCCGGGGTCGGTTAATTGGTACCAGAACTTCGCCTGGGAGGATAAAAACACTGACTTGAACATCGGCTGGCCCCCGCAAGTCATTGTATAGGCCACATCGCATTCAAATGCCACTGCGAATGTACAAATGGAAGTAGAATGCGTGCCGCATCCCAAAAAGGGATTGATCAACGGCAAATGCTTTATCCTTTATCCTTTTATCATTCTATTCTTCAAAATCATTCTATTCAAAATCGTGGTGATGTTTATATGCGATTTGGTCTAAACAATGTTGGTGGCAGAGCTAACCCCTGCACGTTTCCTCGCCGCCGCTACGACGTCACCAACACGCGAACATGTCCGCGCCGCCGGTGAAGCTTTTGCCATGGAGTCCTGTCCCCCCCCCCTGAGCCACATTGCGTCGTCCGCTGTTTCGCTCCATGGTATCTCGTCACTTCTTCACCAATTATTTCATTAGTGCCTAGTCCCATACCCATGATTGACCCTCACAATAATGTTCTTGGCGTGAATTGATCCTCTTCGGGATACGCCACGCATCCTACTTCTATTCAACATCTTAGTGATGCTTAGCCGGTTTGGTCTAAACAATGATTGGCGGGTCCAGGATGCACAAGCTCTTTGCTAGCAGGCAAGTCAGGTAAGGATTATCCAACCCCTGAGCTTTGGTTGTGCTGAGCTGATGCGCCGAACGAAGCGAATACACTCTTAGGTGAGATTGCTTCTTGGACCACCAACCTACCAGTGAAGGTAAAATGACTACTGTTACGGCTGCAAAAATTTCATCTCGGTGAATCACTGGAATCTATTAGAGCAAATCATGCCATCCCCACGACTGGCTCGGCGGTAATTTTATGATTCGTCTTTGATGGAGCAAATGCACGTACGCAGAAAATCTTATTCCGTTGATCGGTGAACAGGCTAGGAAAGATTCTAATCCGCACAAAAACTGAAGAGAAACATGGCTGGCAACCTAAATAATAATGGAATAAGCTTTGATTACACTCGGCCATTCCATAATACCACCGCAGCCTGTTGGCGTCTTGACGAACCCACAACAAGATGCCATTTGTGTGACTCCGTAAGTAAACCTTAATCGTCTTCAGACGTCCGAGCCAAAGATGATCAAAGAGGATGGTTTGAGCCACTACTAATAGGCCTAGAGCTGGGAATGAATGAATGTGGTGCTAAACTAAGTAAAAAAAAACAAACTTGAGAAAATAGAAACCACACGGGAGCGAAGTCCACTCAGGAAAGACTCTGCCAATCAATGAATAGAGGCGGCCCAATTCTTGATTGGGGGCCATGATCAACCAATTAACCTGATCTACAATGTATTCTATTACATTTAGAATTCCGAGTACTCGTGGGCTTCTGGAACTATACGAGCACTTAATAAGCTCCTGAGAATGATCTATTCTACGGAACCTATTTGTTGTTCATACCAGAAACCATTTTCGGTGCTATACAAGTGGGGTGGGCACACCCAGCTTTTCACGCATGTCAAGTGACTGCCCTCACCCCCCACCCCCCTAGATTGGCTACACTCCCCCTGGCTCACGAATTCCCCGATTCTCGTGACAGTATAGTAGCAGCCCCACTTACATACATTTCTGTTCAAAAAATGCGGCGTGCCCACCCTACTTGTATAGCACCCCATTTTCATTTGAAGAACAGTACAGTTTTCAACTTGGAGTTTACGACTTGATCACGACCTTTTTTCTTCGTGAATCAAAATAATTTGCAAGAAATTCACAAGTATCAAATTCAGCTAAAATGGGTACTAGGGAGTAAAAACACTACGTGAGCTACAAACTCCACGTCGTCTCTAGTCAAGAAAGGTAAGTTTATGAATGGAAAAGGATGAGGAATGAAGTGGTGTGTTGTGCGCAATTATTTCAAAATGCACCACGCTATTCCAGTCCTTCTATTAAAAGTCATAGGCTCAGTTTTGAGGGTTATGAAATAGCTTGCAAAGTCTATCACGTGAGAATTTCTATCCTCTCATATGCCTTTGGACCAATGAGTCGCCCACCCAGGAAGCAATGTTCAGTTGCCGTATGCTAGCTCGAACCCTCGAAGAGCTGTGCTGAATTCATCGCAGGATTGAACGTGTGGCGCGAAATCCACGAGGGGGGATCTTGTTAAGAGATGCTTAGGGCCGTGAGCATAGAGACACATACTACAGTAGTGGCATCCTGCACTAAATGCTTGAGAACCGATGACTTCACTTTCAGTCCAATCCTCACATCATTATTGAACGTATTCACACTAACTTCATCCAGAAATGCCTTCAAAGTGGCAGACGGGGAAAGGAGGAGATGCCAAAAACATTGGGGATTAGATGTGGGGACTTTCGCCTGTCCCGACAGAAATTTCTTCTTTCCGATGGACTACTTACAACAGAAGGCGAAAATTTTTCTTTGCTCATAGGTCATGATTCATCAACCCCGCTCCTTTCTCTCTTGCGAGAATCCATAAATCCTAAATGAAAAACGTTTCTGCTTGTCATGCACCTACGCTGTAGTTGGTAGCCATTAAATTTGCTATTAAATAGCTTTTGAGGGTTTAAACTGAGTCACTGGTTGTGAATGTTGGAGTTTCAAAAATTAATTAATTGAAGATGATGTGCAGCCATGTGTTTACAGGATTCAAGGAACTAATGGAAATTGTACACAGAAGTAATGAAAAAGGTTGACGGGGAGCTTAAAATTGATGTGCATACCCGGCGATGCACAAATGTCAGATGTGGGAGTTTCGACGTGCATACCCGGCGATGCACGCGGGCTGCAATGTGTTAATCGCACTTTCTATATTGCATGCTGATCCATTGAGAAAAAGGAATCAAAGTATAAATGTGATCGATTGTAGCTCCAGCTGTAGGATTTCATGCGCTATCGCATATGGAGGCATTATGTTGGCAGTGCATCTCGAACGGCGTAAAATCCTCTTTTCATCGGAAACGGGATGAAGCTTAAGCGGGGAGGAGAGAATGTGGAATGTGCGAGAAATTTTCATTGCCCCCAACCTTCCGTCCTTCCCTAGCCTTATTGTTAGTCCCGAAGGATGCCCCCGTATCTTGCGATAGCGCCGGAACTCATTTTACGCGCAGATTCACATTTTCGGAGAGATGAAGTGAAAAATCCCGAAAGATTTTCAAGATAGCGGTTAGTGAAAGGTACCCAACAGGAAGGCCGTCACGCGACAAGAAGGCAAAGTTAGTGGACGAGTCGCAGGCGTGATGTGCGGTGCAAGACGCATATTCGTTTACGGTACATTCTATTTCCTTTTTTTCATTTATGGCACATTTTGTTTAACTTGACGCAAAACCATTACAGTGCGCGCCGCGACTCGTTCGCTGACTCTGAATGGCCGTGTGACGGGCCTCCTGTCGTGTACCCGTTATTGAAATTGTTACAGAAAAAATCCTAGCGATTCTTGTCATCAGAGATCCATATGAATGAACGTTCCGAAAAAGAAAACACAGAACGCTTTTGACTGTATCAAACTCAGCAAGGAATGCAACCGCTGTTGTTCTTCGGTGTATTTGTCTGTCCAATAAACAAGACATAAAATCTCAAGTATCTGGTTGAACGAACAATTGAACGTTGACCTGTGACTTCGAAAACATTCATCACTAAAAAAGCATGCATTCTGCGATTGTAAAAAAATGCACATACAATGATGCAAATTACTGAAAAATCATCGCAGTGAACTGGTTATCGAATGAGATTCGGTGAGGAGTACGGAAATATCAGCACCAACAACACTAACAAAACGGTTGTCTGAACTGGGTCCGCCGTCCTTGACGGTACTGGAAGGATTTAAGACAGCATGAAAAAGCACAGCAATGTCTTAGCTACTCTATAACATCATATATGCCGAATATGTACATTATAGCGTCGAGTACATGTTCAACAAGTCTATAAATAGAATTTTAATCCGAAGTTTAATTTTGATAATTTTTTTCTAGTAATTATTGTCAATTGAGCACTTATGAAGGTGTGAAAGCATGCACAACGAAGTAGCGCCGAAGTGACGACATAGATACAAATTCTTAGAAGGAGTATCTTTGCCTAGAAATAAATAGAAACGTAAAATACGACTAGAAGTATGTACCAACGGCAGCATACAAATGGTAGGCAGATATAGCGAGAGATATTTCGAGGAGCCTAGACTTATCCAGTGTATACATGTGGGATATATGGCTCAATTTTTTGATCCCGTTTCAAATTTCGCGGGGCGATATGGTGCTATAGGGTTTCGTAGTCCAACTGTTCACGTCGAGGCCACCAGAGCAACGATAGGGAGGAGTTCATCAGTATGCAGCATTTATAGTGCAGTCATGATTGGGCTCATGCCACCAAATTCGCTTCGAGTCCCACTTCCCTCTTCTGATTCGGCACTCGAACATTCGGTCGAGTTTTTCGAACCTTCGGAACCTGAAACAACTGAATACATTAACAAATATATGGCATCCAAGGTGATTTGCATTATCATTTTCTTAGGTTTCGCTTTTTCTAAATGAGCCCATCTCTATACATGTAAACCACATAAACTTTTCGGATAGTCCGTTTTTTTCACTTTCTTTGCCCGCGTTGAACAGAAGTAATGTTGCAAGCGATCCCAGAACCAGCAAAAATTTGAAACTCCGGCATAGCAGCACTATCACATTATTTTCTCCCATTTATGTCAGTTCTATATATGATTTGTGTTACAGATATAACCCATTTGAAAAAGACACGCATACATTGAAAAATTGGTGACTTTTGTGTGGTACTATGGGGCGCCACACTGTCCAACGCGCTTCCAAAGCGCGGCGTATCAGGTATCACGCTCACGCTCAGGTGTTAATATGTCACAAAAGTTGCAAAGGAGCTGTTATATTATCAAACTGTGGTGAATTTAATGAGTGCATCTCAATCAGGATTCCCCTGAATTTTCAAATGTACTAAATTGAAGTTATGAGTATCTGCTTCACTTTGTGCGAAGGAATTATTTGCACTATGTTCTACCCAAATTGAATTTTCGAATTCTGTTGACGCCTAAAGAAGTTTTTGTAGGGCTTGTTCATCCTAGAAGAACTTCAGAAGCTCTCCGAAATATGGCCTTGAATTGCCTGAAGATGAACCGCAGAAATCGCCTTACAACGACAAGCAAACGGGCTAAGCTTTTGAATGGAACCAAGTTAAAGGCCTTCATTCTTCACAGGAAACCCTTTTAAACGATAGAACGAAGACAGCAGTCATTTCCAAGGCGATTTGATTCCAACGACAATTGAATGAGATTTTTGACAAATGAAAGGTTTCTAGCCACCAATGCCGTTTTGCACCTTTGAATGGAATTCATTCACAATTGGCTTTAGAAAGAAAAAACTTCACATTCAACTGGCACAACTTATCATTAAAGGAAAACTCGAGACATCGAAGTTTCTGCGCATCCTGAACCGGTCTTTAACGACGTACTTCTAGAAAAATCAAATGCCAAACCTGTGCGGAAGAAGCCTTCGGAAGTGCGAGGGTTTTGCTGATTTTGTGCTAAAATTATTCCCGAAATGACATATTCAACAAAAAACGTTTTTGTATGAACACCTTCGATGTCTTGTAGGCCAACCCTTTGTAGGCCGCGTGACGCGCATGGCACACCGCGCTGTCCCACAGAAGTGGTTTTTAATTTATTTGTTTAGTATTTCCCACATTTCCAAGATGTAATTATGCCTTCTGGATCATTTTTTAAAAGGAAAAAATGAAATATACAGGGATACAATGATACAAGTATGTGGGATACGAGATCGCTGAAAAGTAGCTTGAATCAATATTTTTGAAATCTAAAAAAAACCAGCTCAAGAAGTGTCCCTATGTTACCTCCAGAATGTACTGCATAGATGGAGCAGTCCGCTGATCGTACATCCCTATTTAACGCTTGGGTTAATTCCTGATGTGTAAGCGTCTCAACGGCTGCCATATCCATTTTCACCTGAATACGTCATCACATCTTCTATCTGTTCACCACAACTGCCATGCAATTCATAGTGATTGATTGATCACCTTGAACGGGCAAGTTTTCTGCGCACGCAGCTCATCGGCACTGATACTTTGCGTAATGTATGAGTGATTGAGAGCGCCTTGTACATCAATTCGATCTTCAACATCGACAACGATAAGCTTCGAAATCAGATCGATCATCTCGTCCGACACCTGCATCAGACTGTTCTAAAACTTCAGCTGTCAACTTTACATCAAGCGTTAATAATGTTTCAAATATAGAAAAAATGAAAAAAAATCTGGATTGGCCTCGGGCCGGATAGTTTTAAAATAGGAATTTCCGTCTGGTTAGTGGGGACACTTGTGCAAAGAATCTGGAAATAATCTTGCAACCCCTCAATGTGGTTGAGAATTCCCCACTCCTTCACGAGTCGCTTTCGGAAGTGGAAATCGGCACAAGAACTGTCGCCTCGGTACGATTACGCATGCTGCTTCGTACTTGGTATTGGATCATAACATTCCAACCTCTCGTTCTAGTAATTTGGAAGGCTCCAAGGCCAAGTCGGAATATGGAAACCGAAACCAGAGAGAGGATGGATTTGCGAAAACACTAACGCCGACTTTGAA